CAGTCGGCTGGGTGAGCGCGCGGGTGCAGCTTCTGCAGCCGAGGCCGCTCCAGTGTTATAGGTGCATGGAGCTAGGCCACGTGCTGTGGGTTGCAATAACCCGGCGGACAGGTCCGGGGAGTGCTATCGATGCGGCGCCGCCGGGCACCTCGCCGGCACATGCACGGAGCCGGCGAGCTGTCTGGCCTGTAGGGACGCCGGACTGTCCGCCGGGCATCGTATAGGCGCGGCCAAGGGCTGTGTCGCCGCCCGGACGGCGGGTAGGAAGAAGAGGACAGGCGCCGCCCGCGCTCCCGCTGGTAGCGAGACCGCGGCCGACAAGGCGAACGCCGCGCCCCCCCTGCGCAACCGGCAAAGGCGCCGAGCGCGGGTGGGGGTGACGCGGCGGCCGATACCAATATGGAAGTAGACGCCACGGAAGAGGCGGACGCCACGGGGACAGAATGTCAAGAGTAGGCGTCCGGCTTCTCCAGTCGAACCTGAACCACTCCTCCGGGGGCAGGACGTGTTCGTCCAGTGCCTCCTGGAGAGTGGTTCAGGTCTGGGATTGATCGCGGACCCCTACACTCTCTCGGACAGCCCGTGTTGGACGGGGAACTGTGGGGGTCTAGCGGCAATTACCTGGCGGAGCGCAGACGGTTCCCCCCTTCTCCATTGTGGAGAGGGGGGAGGGGTACGTCCTGGGGGAATGGGGTGACCTCCTCTTGATGTCATGCTACTTCATATCCAGCCTCTCGTTGGCTGAGTACGGGGAGCTGCTAGGGCGGATGGGGGGTGCCTCAGTAGGCAGCTCCCCCTTCCTGTTTTGGTGGGGGGGACTTCAACGCCCACTCAGTGGCGTGGGGTTCCTCCCGCACCAACGCAAGGGGGGAGGAGGTGGAGGACTGGGCGGCCTCGCTCGATCTCTACCTCCTCAATCGGGGAGGTCACCCCACTTTCGAGTGCGGCGCGCGGGAGTCCATTGTAGATCTCACACGGGTCTCCCGCTGGGTAAGCGGCTGGCGCGTCAGCCCCGGCCGTCTCGAGGGAATGTCCGACCACCATCTCATCGAGATGATGGTGGCCGCGGCTGGTGCGCCGGCCTCCCTCCTCTTCTCGCTTCTTCGAGGCGGGAGGAGGGGGGGGACGAGAGGGACTGCCTTTGGTGAAGGCTCGCCGCGC